AGGCAGGAGATTCTCTGAGAACTTAGGTTCAGGACTCCAGCTGAGCTGGTGTGTCTGTCCAGAGAAATGGGTCTACTATTGTAAGACACACATGTGCAAGATTTCAAACACATGGTAGTGACAAACCCCCCTTATTACAATAGGTCAGTGGTCAGCAAACCGGGGCTTGTGAACCACATGTGGCTCTTTGGCCCCTTGAGTGTGGCTCTTCCACAAAATACTGGCTCTTCCACAAAATACCGACTTCTGCGCATGAGCCACGAAATTTCAATCACATTGTACGTGTGTGCCCACATGTGGCTCTTTGTGGAAGAGCCACGCTGAAGGGGCCAAAGAGCCGCATGTGGCTCATGAGCCGCAGTTTGCTGATCACTGCCCTAGGTGAACCCCCCCCCCCAGAGGCCCCTGGCTTGCTCATGCAGCCCTGGTCACATCACTGGAGCAGCTATAAGGCACAGAAAGCACCAGGGACAGCCGCTTGCCCCCACTTGCCTTTGCAAAGACAAGGCAGGAGGGTGTGAGGACCTGAGCTCATGGTTTGATGCTCAACCACTGAGCCACACTGGCCGGGCTCATTTATCCTCTTAATTTGCCTAACCAACCACTTTCCTGCCCGGTAAATGGCAAGTCCTTATGGAAATAGCTCTTCTAGATCTGGGGACTTGGTTGAGGGAAGAGCTTTGCTGGGTTTGGCCACAGGTGCTGGGTTTTCCGGAAGGGGTTTCCTGGGGGAACCACAACAGCAGCCAATGCCCTCTGAGTGCTTGCTGGGTGCCAGCTCACTCCATACGTGTTGCCTGCATTAGTTCATGCTCACCCAGACCAACCCCATGAAGGAGGTGTTGTGTTTGAGCCCGTTTTACAGATGGGGACCCTGAGGCCCAGAGAGGGTGACCTGTTTACTCAAAGGGAACAGCTACCAGGTCATATAGAACTGGCTGGTTTGATGCCACAGTGCAGGCTCATAACCTGTAAGGAACTCAGCTGCTTGTTGCTGTTCTTAGAGGGGCAGCCCCAGCGAAACAGAGGGCTCTGAGGGCCCCTCTGCATGGGGCCCAGGTTTCTGCATGTGGTGGGTGGACACCACCCCTTAGAGGAGACAGGCCAGGTCATCCCTCTTTTCTCCAGAAGCTTCTCTCCTGCTGTCTGCCCACCAGCAGGCACCTCAAGGGGCTAGATGCCTGGATGACAGCTTAAAGTTCATGACTGTCTCGTGGTGACAGCCTGGGATGTTTCTTCCTCTAGAGAACCTGGGAGACTATCTCAGTAGTTTGGGTTTCACTCAGGTCTTCCAAGAGTCTGAGGTCTCTGCATTAGGAAAACCTTCAACCCATGTTGCTGTCCAGCAGAGGCAGAGAGCCCCCCAGTCAGCTCAGGCACCACTGGAGCTCAGGCCTCTCTGGCTCCAGGGCCCCGCACTGGCATGAGGAGGGCCAGGGCCAGGGCCAGGGCAGGGCTGGGTGGGGCAGGAGGAGGCCCTGTCCTATCAGAGGCGGTGGAATTGAGGCCAGGGCTCTGTCCTGTTCCGAGATGGATCGCAGGGAAAGCGATGCCTGGAGGGGCTTCGACCAGGGACCGCTGCTCTTTCAGAGGCTGCTGAGATGCGGCATCTGTCCCCTGCTCATGGAGTCAATAGCCATCGACCCAGCTGGGAAGTGGGTCTCAGCCAACCGCACATGACAGACCCAACACGACTCCCCTCCCCAGGGCGAGTGTCAGCCACCTCCCCCATGTCCTGAGGCTACACTTCCTGCAGCCACACCCTCCTGGGCCTGCCACCAGGCCCCACCCCTGAAGTCTTCCCTGACCCAGCCCCCTTCCTTCCCTTTCTCTGGCTCTTTTTCCTACCAAACCTCAGCCTCCACCCGCTGGAAGCCGCCGCACTCAGACCTCTCTGGTTCTCCCACACCCACCATTTCTGACATCACTCCCCTGATCCTGAAACCGCACCATCCATGTGCCCAGCCCTCAGTTCCTGTACCCTCTTCCTCCCTCTTCCCTCATACATCTAAGTCAGTGGTTCTCAACTGGGGTGATTTTGCACACACACATTCGCCCTGGAACATTTGGTCTTGTGTGGAGAAGGTTTCGGTGGTCAGATCTGAATGAATGGAGCAAGACTGGTGGGGTGCAACAGGCCCCCCACAGTCAGTGTTGTATCCACCCTGTCCTTCCTGGAGCTCTGCACATTTGTGTCTGTGAGAGTGTCTGAGGTCGAGGAGTGTGCCTATCCTGTTCCCATTATCTGGCTTAGCACTTAGCACACAGTAGGTGCCTGAAATACAGGTTGACTGTCTCTGGAAAAGACATTCTAGTGAAGCCAAAATAATGATCACAAATATGAGAACATTGCAAGAATGAAATTGTTAGCCTGGCTGGTGTGGCTCAGTGGTTGTGTATTGACCTATGAACCAGGAGGTCATGGTTCGATTTCCGGTCAGGGCACATGCCTGGGGATTGCAGTCTCAATCCCCAGTGGAGGGCGTGCAGGAGGCAGTCGATCAATTATTCTCTCTCGTCATTGATGTTTCTCTCTCTCTCTCTCTCTCTCTGTCTCTCCACCTTTCCTTCCTTTCTGAAATCTATAAAAACAAAAGCAAACAAAAACAAAACAAAACAACATTAAAAAAAGAAAGAGAGGGTCAGGAGGGGAAACCAAGGCTTAGGGGACTGCCGCCCCGGGTCCCCTTCAGGGCTGTCTGAGCCCAGAGGCTGGGGGAAGAGAGTGGGGACACTATGGCTGCGCCCACTGGGAGCAGCCAGGGCTCTCCGTCTTCCCCCAGGCACATGCTCTTGTACTTCCCCGGGACAGATCTGAAGCAGGTGGCACATAATTCATGCTCACTAAGTAGTAGTTGCCATAATTACTGTTTATTTCAAGTGTATCTCCTGGATCTCTGGGCCTCTAGGGGAGGGCGGGTGGAGGGCTGGGCTGGGAGCTGCCTCACTAGCAGGGTTTGTAAGGTGGGCCTGGGATGTTCCGGTGAATGGCAGAGCCTACAGCGGTGGGCAGGATGGGGTTACAAAGGAACGGGCACCTGTCAGCCCTCCCTGCCTGCCCGTGCAAGGGCCTGGTGGGAAGGGACCCAAAGGCGCACTTGTGTTCGCTCGGGCAGGTTTTCTGCCTGTTATACACCCTGCCAGGCTGACGGTGTTTCCTGAGGACAAATCGGGACCCGCTGCTGGTGGAGGGGAAGCAGGCGGCTGTGGGGAGCCCAGGGCACCAGCCAGGGGTGTCTAAAGGGCCCAGAGGAGACCCTCAGCGGGGGCACCCTCTGCCCATGTAAGGGAAACCGGGCCTGTAGGAGAGGGTCTCCAAGAACTTGAGGACTCAATGTTTATTTGGAATAAACCAGGGAGCCCCTGTTTTCAAACCCTGCATTCCAGTAAATAATAAAGCGCTTAAGAGTAGGAACCTTTTATCTTTGTACCCGCAGCGCCCAATTTCTGTTTAGAACTGTCTCTAGGGCAATGGATTCCCTATCTCCAGACATCTTCAAGGGTAGATGCCTGGGACAGCCCCCCGGCAGGTGTGTTAACTAAGAACTCATTAGTGTGTCGGCACCATGAAGGCCCCGTCACGAGATTGCACTTGGTGATGTGGGTGTGGGCTTCGTGGGGTGAGAAGGCGGCCCCTTCCCCAGGTGGTGACCAGCCCCTTCCCAGTAGGCTGCTCAGAAAATAGGGGCTCTCTCTGAGCAACACTGGAGGTAGAACTGTGGCTGCCCCCGCCCCCCCAACGTGGGCCCTCCAGCACTGAGACCCTCCCTCCCAACCTGGAGCCATCTTGCCACTCACGGGCTGTACTGCTGACCTCTCCAGCCCTTTTCCATCTCCAGGACCTCTCCCTCTTCCCTGCCACCTGCTCCTCAGGCATCAGCCGTGGCCTCCTCTTTACCTCCACGTGGCCAGGCCGGGCCTGGGCCAGCTGGACCCTGCCAGGCTCCTGATTCCAGATCCTGCCTGGCCCAGAGGCCTGAGCATGGGCTGCAGCTGAGCTTCCCCAAATGCACGCCAGCCATCTCCCTGCTGTGAGCCTTTCCAGCCCATTCAGAGGCCCCTCCTCTCATCCTGGGAGCTGGGCTCTGGGAGGGTCACACCTGCCGGCCCCTCACCCCGCAGCAGGGTGCTCATCCCCCAGCAGGTCTCAGAGGAGGGGCTTTCCTTACGGGAAGCTGGACGCTTCCTAATGTTCCTGTCACGTTGATAATGCTCCCCTGACTCCCCGGTGAGGCAGGGGCACTTAAGGGTTGAAATTTAAAGTTAAAAACAGCTGAGGATGCACGGAGCTGGGGTTGGAAGGTTCTCTTTTGCCGCCGGATGGAAGCGCAGTCTCCAGGGGGGAAGGGCTGGGCGGCAGCCTGCCTGCTGGGGTGCCAGGCAGGGCAATGGGAGAGGGGCCTGGAGCCACCCTCCCATGTGCCCTATGCCAGTGGCAAAGCCCAGAGGGCAGCCAGTCTAGCTGGGACCTTTGCCACAAGCCCTGCCTCTTGGCCTGGCCGGGGGTCTGGTTCCAATCCCGGTGATGGCAGTGGGCAGGGGAAGCTCCGAGCTTGGACTTACTTGAAGCACCAGTGGGATCGGGCAAGATGGGTTCCCAAGGGGGTATCTGGTCCGGGGCCTGGCATGCCCGGACTTTCAAGTGTAGCCACCATGTTTTATTCTTGTGCAGAAAGTTTGGCCAAATATTTTAACCAAGTTGTTACCTTTTTTGGTCACCCTCAAGCCAGCAATTTGCCAAGGACTGGGTGCCTAACCTGAAGCTGATGGATTAAACAGTTTTTTCAGAAGGTTCTAGGGATTGGGAGTGTCATGATGGAAACTTGCTCTAGGCTGTGTGGTTTCAGGTCCAATCGACCTTCTCCAATTTTATCTCCCTGAAGCCTTAGCATAGAGCCCCTCCCAGCCGCCCCACCCACAGTGCCCTGAGGCTGGAGCTAATTCCTGGGGCCTGTCACACCTTGGCCTCCGCAGATCTGACTCCCCGCCTCTGTCTACAGGCTGCTGAACAGAATGTCCGCGGACGACCGGCACCTGAGCTCCAGCTGCGGCTCCTTCATCAAGACCGAGCCGTCCAGCCCGTCCTCGGGCATCGATGCCCTGAGCCACCACAGCCCCAGCGGCTCCTCGGACGCCAGCGGCGGCTTTGGCCTGGCCCTGGGCCCCCAAGCCAACGGTCTGGACTCGCCGCCCATGTTTGTAGGCTCCGGGCTGGGAGGCACCCCGTGTCGCAAGAGCTACGAGGACTGTGGCAGCGTCATCATGGAGGACCCGGCCATCAAGTGCGAGTTCATGCTGAACGCCATCCCCAAGCGCCTGTGCCTCGTGTGTGGGGACATTGCCTCCGGCTACCACTACGGCGTGGCCTCCTGCGAGGCCTGCAAGGCCTTCTTCAAGAGGACCATCCAAGGTGCGTGGGGCGCCGGAGGGGGGAGAGGGGTGCCCGGCCTGCGGCCCAACGGGAAACCTGGTGATCCCCCCTGCCCAGGTCAGGTCTGGGTGCTGGGAGCAGAGGTTTGGGGGCGTTCTTTTCTGTCTTTCGGGTTTCCTCACGCTACGTGTCTGGATAAGGACTCTCCGGGACTGTTGTTGAAATGGCATGCACCCCGAGATGGTGCCCCAGAACCACCCCCAAACCCCACACAGTGTCTCACCATGGGTGTGCTTTCACTAGGATGGGGAACAGTGTCATATGTGTGCCCCTCAAAAAGCTGATTTTGGGGGGAAATAGCATTATTTACAGTTGCAGGCCTCTTGAAATATAAGGGTTTCTTTTTTTTTTAATTACACAAGTGAAATGACGGTTTTCCATGTAAAAGGCTCAGGCTGACCGAGCAAGGAGCTGTGTCCCTGTCTGGGTCCCAGCGTGGCCTGGTCGGCAAACTGCGGCTCGCGAGCCACATGCGGCTCTTTGGCCCCTTGAGTGTGGCTCTTCCTAAGCCTTAGGAGTACCCTAATTAAGTTAATAACAACGTATCTACCTATATAGTTTAAGTTTAAAAAATGTGGCTCTTAAAAGAAATTTCAATCGTCGTACTGTTGATATTTGGCTGTTGACTAATGAGTTAGGCTAGGCTTTTCTGGTGCATCTTCATATCAGCTGAGTCAGGCCCAGTGGCTGTGGGGGAGGCTGCCTCTTTCCAGGGGTCCTGGAGCAAATCCTTCTGGTGAAGGTGTGTGAGAGCCCTGGTGGGCGGGTGCCCTCTGCAAAATGATCCCTAGTTGCACTGGGGGTGATGATGGGCTGTTATCAGGTTCAAGGCCCAGGAGAGAGAGATGGCGGGGCATGCGGGAGCTGAGACTTACTGCACCAGGCCGTGGGTAGCGGACTTGCTCCATCCATCCTGCCTGGTAACTTCTGAGCACTGTTCTAGTGCTGGCGGCAGGATGGACACAAAGCCCTGCGCCTGCAGGTCATCGATGGCCTGATCACAGGCCCCTGGGACAGGCACTGAACGCAGACTGGGGAAAACGGGGCCCTGTCCTGTCCCTGGCCCAGATCCCTCTCCCTTTGGAAGAGGTAGGCCAGCCTTCCCTGGGATGAGTCTCCGTTTATTCATTCAACAAGTATTTATTTGTTGAGATCTCTTCAGATGACAATCTATTTATTAAACCAATCGAGGGCATTAAGACTGGTCATGTTTCCAACTCTGCATATGAGTTGAGACTGGGTGGTGCAGTGGCTAGCCACCTGGGCTCCTGGGTCAGACCCCTCCATTCACTACCTTACGGCTGAATGCTTTGGGCCTCAGTTTCTCTCTCACCTTCAGCGAGAGGAGATTGTCCCGACCTCACAGAGAGCTGATAAAAGAGGATTAAGTGAGTTCATGTATATCAAGCACTTAGATAAGTGGTTCTCAACCTGTGGGTCGCGACCCCTTTGGCGGGCGAACTACCCTTTCACTGGGGTCGCCTAAGACCATCCTGCATATCAGATATTTACATTACGATTCATAACAGCAGCAACATTACAGTTATGAAGTAGCAACGAAAATAATTTTATGGTTGAGTCACAACATGAAGAACTGTATCTTTTAAAGGGCCAGAAGGTTGAGAACCACTGACTTAGATTGTGCACTGGCACCTAATAAGCACAAAATAAATGTTTACGATGATTATTTTCACTTTTACAGGAACACGTAAGACATATAGCACTGTGACAGCAGAGATATTAATTTGTTTTACCTCGAAGAGCAAGCTTTTATAGTTACATATATTTAAACTATAATTACTTTGACAGGATTTAACTTATCTTAGCTATTTTAGTCTTAGATAGCATGTATTTTTTTTAATAAAAGGAACTCTAAAAAAATGAATATGGTAAAATTCAAACAGTGCAAAAGAATAAAACACTAAAAAGGTAAATTTTGTGAAAACTCCCGACTCTGGTTCCCTGAACTTTCCCCAGAAGGAGCCATGATACAATTTCTTTCAGCAAATATTGACTGGGAGCACTTTCCCACCAGGCCTTGTGCCAGCCTCCAGCATGGTGAATGAATGCATCTGCTCCCTGCCAGCTCTGTACCCCCAAGTCTGGGGAGGGGCCCTGGCATCTCCAGATTTGAAAAGCCTTGGGTGGTGGTTCTAAGTCTCCGGCCTCAGCCAGGGTTGAAAACCTCCAGTCTGATTGCTAATCAATACCAACTGATATTTGACAAACAAACATGAGGTGTTGAAACCATTTTAAGTTACTGAACTAGCATTTTTTTTTCTTCCCAAATCGGGAAGTGATCTTGATACGACTGACTCTTTGAGGTCAGTGTTTGAAAAGTGGCTTTAAAAAAAAAGAGAGAGAAAAGTTGCTTTTTAGGAGACAATTGCATCTTCTTCTCTATGATGTTCCCAACTGAGCTGGAGTTCTGGGCCCGATGTCCTGAGGGCAGAGGCTGGTGTGGACTCAGAACCTCCCCCCCCCCTCCCGTCACACTCAGCAGGGGACGGTGCTGGGAAGTCCCTAGCAAATCGGGAGTCCACAGGAGGGATTCGCAAACAGTCTTAATTATTTGCTCCCACGAACAGGATAGCGATCTTTTCCGAGAAGTCGAAGACAAACAGCCGCCTTTGAGTGCAATCAGAACCGAACTGCTCTCCTCTCTTTCTCATGAGAAGAGTTTCATGTTTATAAGCAGAAACAGGTGTCCATCTAGAACAGGGAGAAGTAAACGCAAGGGCTGATGGGCCGCTCTGGCTCTTTTCTCAACTCTTTGCCTTTGTTCTAACCAAGATTCTGATTTTGTTGTTTTTAAACATAATGGTTGTGGGAAAACTAAGAAAAGTATAAAAGAAGGGGAAGATGACCTGTAAGGAGCGGGCATTAATGGAGTCCCCCCTCTACAGATGGGACTGCCGGGGAAGCAGAGAGCAGTGATGTCTGCCCTCCAGCTTAGAGCATCTACGTCTGCAGACATAGCCCTAGGCAGTTCCCTAAGCAACCACCCAATCAAGAAGGATATTTTAAAATGCTCAACATCTTGTCCAAGAATGATCTATTTACAAATACTCCAAACGCTGGGAAGGCTCTGAAAATCTTGCTGGCTCACACTCGCCAGCTCCCTTGTAGGTAACTAGTCTGCTCAATACAGTGGTTAACTAATATGGAAAGAAATTTTGCAGAAGTAAGGCTATCATGATAGATTTAGGGAGATAGGCCTCAGTCATGCCTTCTCTACACACTGACTGTGTGCCTGGTTGAGCTAGCACAGCGGGGGTGGGGGGAGGGGTGGGAAAGGTGGGCAAAATACGGCCTGCAGGCTGGTCACCTGCTTTTGTAAATCAAGTTTATGGGGACCAGCCACACCTGTTTATTTACAAATAGTCTTTGATGATCCAATAAGCTGCATTGAGTAGTTGTGAGGTAGACCTTCAGGCCACAAAGCCTAAATCATTTACTATCTGGCCCTTTCCAGATAAAATGTGCACTCCCTTGCACCATAGCATTGAACCAGGGAGATGCAGTCCCCCACGCCCTCAGGGAGTTTAGAGGCAATGCCTAGTAGTGCCTGTGAAGTGTTTATTACAACTTTCCCTGCCGGATTCTTTGCTATGAAAAGGAGTTTCTTGTCACCCACAGTAGATGAGCTCTGAGAGGGACAAAAAGGGCACCCTCCTGAACCCAGTGTCTCCAAAGGAGCCAACCCTCCACCTGATTGGATGACTGGGGGAGGGGTAAGTGCCCATCAAAAGGATTGATCAGCCCTGGGGGCATAGACTCAGGCAGACCTGGCTCAGGCACCTCCCCCTGGGAAAGGGAGTGTGGCAGCGGGGAGCAGCCTGCTGTGATCAAACATCCCAGTGGTCTGACCTGTCAGGTGGTCAGTTCCCAGCAGGCCTTCTGCTCCGGGTGAACTTGCTGGCCAGGCCCCTCAGCTTCTCCTTGGACTGGAGTGTGCTGCTGTTTCCGGTTCCTGCATTGAGCAATGGGAGTCTGCCCTGGAGATGGAACCCCTGCCTGTGGCTGGCAGCCAGCCTCTGAGCGCCAGATCTGGCCTGTGAGACCGACCCCCCACAGTAATGAAAGCCTCCGTTATGCGTGCGGACGTGAGGAGGGGAACACGGAGGAGCCACACGGGGTCCTTTCTAAGCCCTACTTCCTTGGACCCTGTCAGTCTCTCATTCTCAGCAGTGACCCTGCCTCCAGCTCCTGAGAAACCAGAAGCCTCAGAGGGGAACTGCTCAGCTGGTTGCCACCAAACCTATACACTCCCACATCTGTGCGTCTTTCATTCGTTATTTGCATAGTTTTTTATAGCCACCCAGGCACTGCTGGAAGCTGTCTCCTCCCCTGGCCTCAGGCCTCAACCCTTCCAGGTTTGAATCTGTCTCCTCCCTTCTTCCCAGAGACCCTCCTACCCATTATCTCCTCTCTTTATTTTTGCACTCTCTACATTCTCTTTCTGTCCATTAGCATTTCAATACATCTAGTATCTCCAGTTTAAAAATAAATATATTTCCCCTCAACCTTCAGTTTCCAGTATCCCCCATCGCTTCCTCCCCTCACTTCTTGTCCCACCTTATAAGTCTCTGCTGATGCACCTAATCTCTCCTCCTGCCCACGGATTCAACTGCCTCTGGAATCAGGATGACTCCCAACTCCGCAGCTCTTGCCCTCAACTTCTCCCTGAGTTCCAGCTCCTTTAGTATCCAATGAACATTTCCATGGGGTGTCCCAGAGCACCCCAAACACAACAGGTCCGAATCAGAAGCTGTGTCTCTGCCATCAGATGTTTCTCCTTGTGTTCCCAGTTCATCACCGATTCACTCTTCCACTGTTTAAGCCAGACATGGGTCTTTTCTTTAACTTTGCTTCCTGCTCCCCGTAATTCCCCTCCCACCCCCCACCTTTCCAACCCAACAGCTTCTCTCCATCGCTCCCTGCTTCTGCCCAGGCCACCACTGACTGCCTCGGTTTCT